TTAGCGCAGACGAACACAATTTACATAAGACAACAAAGAATCAAGGAAGAAAACGAATCCTGCTCCTAACCGGGTCAAAGAACAATGCAAATAGCCTTGAGGACTGACATCATTAAAGACAAAAACTGACTAAACAGACCGATCAGTGAAGCGTTAATTATTCAATCCTGTGAAAATGTCAACCGGAACAAAGAAACGAAGTTTGAAGGAACTAGACAAGTCTTATCGAGCCCGAGACCCAAAAACTACTTAAGCAACAACATGAACCAAAGGCACATTATTGACTCCAGACGCCACCACAGCTGCGGACCATAAAATCAACTGCAGAAACAAACCGGGACCACTATGAAGAAGGCTCGTGAAAGACGAGCGAAAACATTGGTACTGCTCAATTACCCAGTTAAGAAATCTGTTTGCGTCGTGTATGAATAAACCGTGTTTGTCCATAGTTTTCAGTATAATCATCGAAGCACAAACGAAATACCCTACCTTTAGAAATGGATACAGTACCACTATTATGCGCTACGTAAGACGGTCGAATTATAGTTTATAGCCAAACCGATAAATCGTAATTTTGTGGTTAAAAACGAGAAGCGTCTAACAAATAAAAATGAGATCATAGTGATTTATTTCAGAAAAAATAAATAACCGAAAAAAAATAACAGGAACTGGTTAGCAAAAGCGATTAAACATAACGGCTACTTAGCAAACAAACAGCGAGTACAGTGGCCAATAACAAATCTGAATTAAAACCTTATTCGTTAATGTGAGACAAATCCATGCAGCAGTGGGCAAATACATAACCTAGGAGGATTAGATACAGATATGAGGATTGTACGTGAAAAGATCTATCAATGAGCAGACGATGCAGAAAAGTTTCTCCTGCTTCGAAGCCACCGAGAAAGAAGATGATCGCAAAAATACCCAACGTTTCACAGGGTACGAAGAGAACTGCAAGCAAACGACGAACGTTGCGAGCACCGATTGCGTACGATAGCCGGTCGAGGATATGGAAAGCACGGTCAAATTCATAGGCAAGATTTTCGATCAGTATCTCAACGAGGTTCATCATGCACCAGTAGAAAAAAGCCATGTTGGCACCGTGCCAAAGCCAAACAAATCCAAAACAAGCCAAAGCCGCAGATAAACGTTTCACCTTCTTAAATCGACCACTGGCAAGTCTCACGTACAAATGGTTACGGAGAAAGCTATATAAGCCTCGATCGAAATAACGCCATACTCTGGAATAGAGCGCGACCCGGGAAATACAAATCGGAGGCCACGGAGGCGACATTCCATCAAGTTTTGCAAACACCGCATTCAAACCAAAAATGCACACGTATTTCATGTGAAAAAACTGACCGACTGTGTAACCAACAGCAGCAAGGGTTGGCAAGTCCAGCCGCTCAAGTGTCCACTTGTCACTAATCATAAAATGCATATAGAAAAAATGAAGAACCAACTGGCAGACGACAATCCAGAAAGCGATGCGACAAGCCAGGAACGAAGCATCGCGAATCGTTTCAGAAATGGGACGCCGGCTATGCATCTGTTGCCCAAACTCGTGAAACGTAACAAATAACGTAGTGCTGTACGGTATATAGAACGAATAGCACATCAGCTGAATGAGCATTTCTTTCGACGACTCTCGCACTGGATGGTCAATCTTTTCCAAACAAAAGCTGGTGCACTGCAGAAGCTTGTACGATAGAAAAACGCCGAGAGAATATGCTTGGTTCTCGCTTAAGTGAACAGGGGTCCAACGCGAAATAAGTACAAACAACATAACGGCGTCAAGGCACCAAACGATCAACGAGCGCCTCAGCAATATGGGCAACAGCATGACGATCATAAAAGCTACGGCGCACGCGACGGCAATCCACCCGTAGACGAACGCGTTCAGAAGCATCGAAGTTAACAACAGTAGGTTTCTGTCCCATGTGGACCGTTCGGGAACGATTTTGGGCACGAGCGAAAATAATACGCTATGCACCAAGAAAGCGGCTGTACACCGTGGCAGTTTCTGGGTCCAGTGCGTCCATTCGAAGTCCGAATCGTCCATCATGAAACGGTCGAGAAAAAACCAACCGCGTGGAAAGTAGTGCTCATAGTCTCCGTGTTGATAACGAACGGATGCCTTCAGCACTAGCAACCATGCGGTAATCGAATGCGCGATCCAAATGAGGAAATAACTTCCTATTTCCCAACGAGGCAGATCAATTTTAAAGTACTTGTTAGCCATTTTGAAAAAAAACGACGTGACGTGAAGAACAAAACGGTCGACACTCAGCTAGCGAAACCGCTGTCTTGTTAGCGTTGTCATTTCAGTCCAAACTCTAGTTATAAGTCAATGAATCACATGAACACTAACCCCGTTTCGGCCGACATTGACATTAAGGCATCGGCCAAGCTGAATCAAGCTTCATTCTGCAAAAAATCAAGCAAAGTGGCAAAAACTACAAAACCACTGACTAATACGCTAACACAACCCATTGTACCTTGTAAAGTTTAATGACGCTGTAGTGCCCATGTGACGATGAGTCTTTCGGTCAGCATCGAGAAAATCGTTGCACTGCTTTACGAATACCTAAAACCGTATAAAACATGGCTTATTCATTCACAACGCACCAAAGTCTTTTAACTAACCATTACCAACCATTACAACAGCCACGGAACTGCACAAATCAATCCAGGCCACCCTAAATGAGGTCGGTGAGAGACGATCCGAAACGTCAACACCTGATAAGCACTTGACTGACCAACCGTTTATGAATAAAATGTATTTATACTTTTACAAGCTTTTGGTATGATTACCAGTGCAGGTATGAAACGTTCAATATATGGATGAACTAATTTATGGCGAAATTAATGCCTCAAGACCGAACGAAAGATAAGAGGTAGCGAGGTAATGGCAGGTTAATTAACTGGCCTGGAAAGTGATTATTTTAGGCACTTAGTGTCAGTGTAGCACAGCCTACGTCAGTAAAATTAAGTACCCCGCTGTTTTCGTTTTTGACGTTGGTCCAAGTTAAGGAAAGACGAGAATTCAGTGTAATGGTTATAGAGTGAAAAAATTCCTATCCTACAGCCTAATGAAGCTCGGAATGACCACCTCCAACAATGCGGACAGATATTCTAAATCGAGTTACAGTTATGTACACGTAGACGGCTGCTGTTCTGAAAGAACTGTCAGACAAAGCGAGCGACCACTCATCTGACCTAAAACTTCCACAAAAGTTGCACCAAAGAAAAACTGACTACAGATCAAATTTCAGACTTCTCCGTTCGTATGACATAATGGGCGAAAGACTTTAAAGTTTCGTCTGGTATGGCCAAGTTAGTGGATTTTGCTTTTCTGCATTGGCTGCATATGCGAAGAGGTCCATGACTCAGGTCAGAGTCAAATATGAAATGGTAGCTTCAAGTGCTATAAGAACCTGTCCAATATTTGGTGTTAACAAACAATCAGTTCTTCCCATAAAATACTGCTTTTACATTGCATTTGTCAGATCAGTGTTGCTATAGGGCATGGAGACAAATATTCCAACGAAAGGGCAATAACAACTGCACACAGGATTAAGCGGAACATACAGCAGTAAAGGTATAACAGGAAGAAATATACCACATTCTCAGGCAGTGCATGACAGCACAAGCAAGGAACACATAAAACATACAACGCGGTCCAATAGCATCAAAATCTGCATAAACTTCGCGACTATGTAACTTTTAACTGCGACAAGAACCTGAACCTGAGTCACAGCCTTAACGGTGCTGTAGCAAGAGACTTTGGCGTACTGCCTGAAAGTGGCATAGTGTCTCTGAGATAACGTCAAAATCCAATACCTCGAACAACTATAGCAAGCACCGCAGGAACAAACTTATTCAAACGAGAGAATTTTGGCTGTTCTATCCATAGAGTCCCCCCGGAACTGTCGATAGCCCATTGCTATAATAACCATCAAACCTTAACAACCCCGTTTTTAAAACTACCAACGCTTTAGCTATAACCAGACATAACCGTGATATTCTAGGTTAATTTTCCATACTACCGGTTAAAATAACATATTCTTGCACGTAAGGTTGGCAAAGTCTCAGGCTCGAAATTCACCTTAGGCATAAGTTTATTCATAGGTTCCAGACCTAGGCTTAACCTCATACTTAAACTGAGTGTCACACTCAGTCTTACGCCTAATTCTAGGTTCGAGCATAGACTTAACCTTAGGTACAGGATCAGGTCGAGCGTACATTCGTAATATTTAGGCGTTGTCTTAGATTTAATCTAAGCCCTAGGATTAGACTGAGGCTTAGGCTTAGCTAAATCCCATGCAAGGACTAAGACCTACGCTTAGGCTCATATTTAAGTTTAGGTTTATTCTTAGGTTTTGGTTAATGCTTAGAGTGAGGCCTAATAGTAGGATCAAAGATAAAGCTTATGTTAAGATCTGGACGGTTTCACACAGTTCGTTTTAACTGCTGCCTTGAACCATGAATCGAGAAGCAAAGACCATTAGTTATTATTCAAACAGGCAACAAATGAATAGCCTTTTGTATAACCTTAAAATTCAGTCTCGAGTTTAGGTCATGGATTTTCCTTCAACATTTTTAGCGGAGTAGCCGAACAGCAGGCTGTTTAAGATTCTAGACTGTGAAGAATTGGCAACGCCCAAAATAAGCAGCTATATGACAGTCGGAAGTATCAAGAGGTACAACTCTGTAGATGCTACCGTACCATAAATGCTTGTCATGAACTCATATCTAATAGAGCCATGGTTGCTAACTATGTCTATAAAGCGAATCTGAGTGGATATGTGATCATCGTTCCATAGGGAATGGATAATCTAATATTCTTTCATCGTCATCTTAACCCATCCAACAGAATCGCTAACTTTCTAAGATTTACGAGACCCGCTCAACTCGACATTTTGCTCTGTTACATTAGGAAAGATGGTGGAGTGCTAGGACAGAAACTGATTCACCACTTCGAACAATAACTTCTCATTGTACAGTTTTTCTTTTAAAACATGCAGATATGATAACCGTTTGATAGGAACCTGTGTTACTGATCTGAATAGAATCTCCGAGGAAATGATCCCGGTACACCAATGATGGTTATCATAAACTTAGGGTGAAATATTTTCACTCTGCCGTTGCGATGATATCAGGGATAGCAGAGGTTGCCGGTTCATTTCAGCACATCTGTCATCCAGATCAGGAGTGTAATAAAAGGTCGATACCGAAACGTCGGTAAAATAAAAATTTACAAAATAAATTGTAGACAAACGTTCCATACTAGCTGTCCTATCGGCACCTGCTATAAGAGCAAAGGCAAGTTACACAGCGATCCAGGAGCAGAATAGATATCAATACATCAACTGCTACAGTAAATTGCCTGCATATAGTCTAAAGATAACGCCACACGTAGCGCCGCTTGAATAATTTCGAATTTTATAAACGACATATACGAAAACTTTCAGTTAGATCCATCGCATCACATGTGAGTCTTAGCGCCAATCATCGAACCTGCTGCGGGAAAACAACCTGAACAACGAACTGACAATAAAACTATAAAAACGCTACAGGATAAGAAACTACATTGCAATAAGTTCTGCTCAACTACTGCCTTAACAAAGGCATATTATATAAATTTGAAGCTGATAAGACTGGACCATCATTCTGGACCTTTCCCTCGGCTTGCAGGTAAAGCAACTTTCTAAAAGACTTGATCATTACGAGTGAGAAAATAATTCAGCGTTGATCCCAACGGATCACTCTAGAAATCCATGAAGATCTTCATTTCTAGAAGAGAATCTTGGGAAATAACAGCTTCCCTATTTAACATGCCAGCCCATAAGCAAATCGATGGCTACTTTCCACGATATAGATACCGATATAGGATTTATGTTCAAAGTAACAAATACAGAACAAGTTCTTCCTGATTGTACTACGTACTTCATTAACCCTCCAAAAGACCTCAACCGCAATTATTTCAACTTTTACATTTAGCGGCCAAGGGATACGTTCTCTACTTGTTCTCATCTGATTTACAGGTTCAAATAAAAGTTCGTCTCATTGACCCTTTATGAAAACGACTGGCACTAATTCGGCGACGCGCTCTGCGTTAAAATTTCAGTTAATCAAATTTTATAAAGCTCATGACAGTGCTGTCCGCCCTGAAACAAGCTGAAAGTACTGCCTGCGCGTGGGTATCTGGTGACGTACTGGGCTTCAACAGCCATAAGCGAAGTGCGCTGGATAGCGTAGAGTAGACATGATGAACGGAGCCGCTACCTGCTTTCATGCAAAGTGACAATGTAAGGGTCCTTCTGACCGTCCGGAAAGTGCACTTAGTGGCTTAGAGTTGAGGTTCTGGAGAGAAGGGACGGATGTCGACTTTTGCGCAAAATGAAGTTGGTTGATTTATGTCGCTATGGTAGGTCTGCATCGTAATATTTTGACGCTATTCAGTCAGTTCGTTATTGTTGCTCTTGCCTGTCATTGTCAAAATATGTGTTCTTTTCATTAAGCTGTCGTATGGATGGAGACATTTTTGAAGGGTGGAGCGGATTACCTTAGCTGCAGCAATATTTAGATGCTTCGCTACATTGTGCGATATATACCAAATTTTACGCGATTGTCATCTCCGGGCTGCTGTCCTCAAAACCTCTGTTATTTCTTTAATTGGCATTGTTGTAATAGTTTGCTGGAGTCTTTGCCATTGTTGCTAACAGTAACTAAACCCCAATATTTTAAGTGTTTTGTCTTATTCTATGTACGTGCTTTATTTAGAGTTAAATAAATTTGAGTGATTAAACAAGGTACGATCATTGTTCAGTGCAGAACAAAATCCATAAAACCTTCCTTTCATGGTGGTAAATCACCATAGAAAAGGCCAAGCCTGATGCATTTGTTTCGGTTTTGACGAAGAGCTTTATTCGAACCGGGATTTTGGCTTGAGTTCAGAATATTTCGCCAGATTGTTCGAAGGCAGATTGATTTTACATTGATTACTGAGAAAAACAAATGATGCACAAGGGTAGAAACATGAACGCTAATAGTGCAGAAGCGGTAATCACGTCTGCTTCATCCATGCGTATCTTCTCATTAATTCGCTTTGTTGCATTTTGCTCCGCTGTGACGGCTTCTATTATGTACTTTTCTGTGCAGTTTCCCTCTTTTCCAACTGTTTTGCTGGATTGTCACTGGATAGTGTCGTTCTTCCCGATGCTG